GGGAGAGCTCTTTCCCTGATAGCCTACCAAGACCGACAACCTCCTAAGTCTTAAGCCTTCGGCTTTTATATCTCCTAAATCCTGCCCCTGCGGGTCATGTGGCCCTGCCTGCCACCTGCAGGCCTGCTTCATCTGGACCTGTCAGCTAGTTGCCATGTGAGCTGACAAGTACAGCCGCAGCTGCTTCCTTGTTGCCTGGCTAGGCTCTGCTCTACTGCCGTACTGCAGCAGAACCACACCTGTCTTAGGCCCCCCTAACCTAATTGCTTGCCTCCACTGCCAGCCCACTCCCTGCAGTGTTCCCTTGACTGGTGGCAGGTGTTCTCCTCTGCCTTAACAGCCAGCCCTCGACCCAGGTAACAGGGCTTCCCTGGTGCCTGCTGTTGTACAGCTACCCTCTTTTCTGCTGCCTAGACTCTATCTGCTGCAAGTTTTCCCCTTAAAGTAATGGCAGCATTCATCTCCCTGTTACACTTTGCAATTGAGAGAGGAAGAGTTTAGTCCAACCCTTTAAAAGTCTATATTTGAGGGCGGGTGGAGTTTTAATACAAATTTAACTTAAAATGACTAGAGAACACTTCAGATAAAGGATATCTTTGTTATAGATTCACCACCCCCTGCCTTCCATTAGGATATTGAAATTTCACAGTACAATCTTCCTGCAAAAACAGGGAAGACTGGACTTGATACTTCTGGTATTCGTATGCTATAGCCTCATCCAGCACTGGTTGAGTGAACTGGGCAGCCAGCCACTGACCAATCTTGATGCAAACCCTGCTACATCTGCTGATAAAGACACCAAGGATGGACTAATTAGTCTGGAGCCCAACCAGACTGGAGGTTGCCTAGTCTAGGGGTTTGTAACATATAGTCTGCAAACTGCATCCAGCCTGCAGAGCCTGAGGGCTTTGCCTATGCTCACACCTGCACTGCAGCTAAGCAACGATAAGCTGTGCAGCCTGGAGCTGGATAACTTCCAGCTGTGCCCTTACCACTAATGGTTCTTCCTCCCCACACTTTGCCCTGAGTGCAAGTTGTGGTGTAAAAGCAGCAGCAGTGAGGATGCTCATCACAGCTCCCCAGCAGGGGGAGGAGCTGGGATAAGTAGCACTGGCAAGGATACGCTCCTAGCTGCTTGGCTTTGCACAGGTCCAGGGGAAGCATGCCCCCCCACACACACACACACCACTGACATGACATGCCATGCCATGCCATGCCATGCCACGGAAGCCATCCAGCCCGTGTCAGACTGAAGCCAAGTTGTTCCAGCCCGCAGTGTGGAAAGGTTGTTGGCAGCTGGCCTAGCCTAATGACCAAGTGGGCATTAGCCAGGCTGGTGTCTCAAAGAACCAGAAAGCCCAGAGGAGGATGAAAGCAGGACAAGCAGAAGGTGAGAGGGCGACATACCCCTAAGTGACTCGGAGGCTTTTGGATGCATCAGAGCCTGTTCCTCTCTTTATGGACTGGATTGATGTGAAGGACTTGGAACAGCCCCCTGGAAGGTGGCAGTAAGGGGGCTGCTCACAGAGAGTTGGGTGGAGAACAGGAAGCAAACTGCAGGTAACCTGCCTGGGCCATCCTTTATCCACAAGGGGAAAGGGACCCAAGCCAAACTTGCAACAAGTCCTTCTAAATTCTTTTCCTCCACCAATATTTTAGTAACAAAAATACTGTGTGTATTTTCTAAAGATTCAGTGTTCTTGGAATTGTTTGTTCAATGATGGCAGGGAAAGTGCCTGATACATTTGTAGTGACCCTTCCCTTCCTAAAAAACTCATCCAGTGATATCGGCATTCACTGGAGGAATTTGGTATTTGGTCTTGGGCTTTCTGTGAGAGGAGGAGGAGAGGCCTTTGGTTCCAAGTTCCTCAACCCATTACAATGTGACAAAGGATAAACCCCCTCATCTGTTTACAAATCTGGGCTGTGCTGGAGCTAAAGTTCAGTTTTCCAGGAAAAGTGTCCTTGTGACATTCCCATTGTGACAAAATTCTGAAGCTTAAGATACTTGATTACTTATTACCCAGCATTTAATAATCTGTGTCTAAAGGGCAGCAAGGTGAAATCAGGACACCCCTTGTTCCTTGCCGAAGGAATGCATAGAATGATGAGACTCAACATTGTAGCTAGCAATTACCTGGCAAATAACAACCCTCCACAGAGCTGTTCCTGGGGAACACTGTACTCAGAAAGGCTTGTTTACATGGGGGAGCTCTTCTGGATTCACTCCTTGTACGAGCCTTCTTATTCCAAAATAAGTCACTCCTTTTCTGGTTTGAGTCGGTATGATCGCAGAAATAGAACGCTCAGTCTGAAAAAGAGGATGGCTGGAAGGAGCTAGTCAAGAATAATGATTCCACTTTGAATTCATGATTTGCTTTAATCTGAATTAACTACCCAAAGGGCAACTTTTCTTCTATGGGCAAGTATCAAGTCTGAAAGATCCAGTGGGAACTGCTGACTGTTTATACCTCATGAACCCTTGAGAAATTCCATCTTTTTACAATTAATGGGACAAATTTCCAGGGATATTTAAGGAACTCAACACCATTGTACTTTGTACTGCTTTCTGGGCTTCTCAACCTCACATTAAATTAGGTGGGCATTCATCTCTCTGGCAGCACCATACCTAGACTCACCTTCGCCAGAGATAACGATAATAAAAATTTTTAAATTACCATTTTTGGGCCCTCTTTCCATCCAGGCCCCAGATGGCCACATGGTTTGCCCATGCCTGTGTCTGGCCCAGCTCTCTGGCTTGAAAGAGCCTGGTGCAAGGCCTGAAAACTGTGAGTTACCAGAGGTTGCTTCACCCCTAACATTAGGCCCTAAAGCTTGCACCCTGGCTACAGTGGCCTCTGAAGCTTGTGGCATTTAAGGAATAGCAGGCATATGGGAATAACCTGCAACCAGCTTTTATCCTACCTCTGACCTATTTCCCAATATGCCCTGAAAGACCCTTGGTGCCTACTGGAAGCATTTGGAACGTTCCCTTGCAACCTCTTTGCACTGATTTGAGTCTGGTCCTTGGACTCTTGCACTCAGCTAGCCAAATTCATATGTGGTCTAAAAGGTGTTAAGTCACTCCCAGGCTTGATCACAGGCTCCAGGCTAGGATAATGTGCAGGTTGGAGGACTCAAAAGGAGGTGTGGGTTTCACCAGCTTAGTATCCCTTCTTTGTTGCTACGTTGTTCTGATTTTGGCTCTCCTAGAGGTCTGTCCTAGTGGATTTAATTGCAGAACCAGATTCACAACCAAAATTGGTTAAATATTAACAAAAGAAATCAACTGAAATGGTAAGAGCAGCAATGTTGGGGGGGCACGTGTTTTTAAAGCAGCAACTGTACATGAAACATTGCAAAACATTGTCCAACTCTGTTGTTAATTAGCTAGGTTAAGGTATGGCTCCTAGGTTGTTGGGGGGGTTTTCTTTTTGCCCTGAGCAGTTAGCCAATTCTCAGAGTCTAGTGGGTCCTTCTGGCAGGAAGAGAAACATAGCAGTGAACCATCCCGTTTATTTGCAGACCATGCACAAAGTCCTGTTTCCAACTCCCAGTTACTTGGAGTTGTTCTCTGCTCCCAGAGTCTTGTTGGGTCAGTGCCGGATGCCAAAGCTCACTTGTAGCTGACAGCTGACAAAAATGGCTCATTGAGGATGGCAGAAAGAAGAGACAGAAGTGAAGATGTTTTTGTTTCTCAGACTTTACATCTGTGCATTACAGTGCTTTTGCCACCTCGTGCCCTGCCCCTTGGACTTGCTATACTGGTCTTTGGGGAAAACATCTCAGCTGCAGGGTTGGGAGGAAGTGCCTGGCCCTCAGTCTGCATGCTGGGCAGTGGTGCCTGCTGTTGCAGCTCCCTAAAGCAGTAGTTTTCAACCTCTTTTCATTTCTGGACCTGATAAAAAATTTCAAATGGAAGTGCAGACCCCTTTGAATGGTATGTGTGGACATTCATAGATGTTTGACCAATTGCAGTCATTTTTCACCAGACAGCTCAGACACAGTCTGCAGACTCCCAGGGGCCCACAGGTTGAAAACCACTGCTGGAGAGGAATTCAGTGGCTCCCTGAGGGTGCACCCCCTCCTCAGCAGTGGGGCTTGCAGCACACGGCCTCTGGCAGGGCGTGGGATGGGGGCACCTCTCCCACAGCATCCTCTGCTGCTCAGCACCACAGAGCAGAGGCAGCCTCGCCCCACAACAGGTACAAGGCGCTGCACCAAGTCCTGCACCACTGCTCTACCCGTAGCTTTCCCAGGCAGGCCCCTCTCTCCCTTCCCCTCATGGTCGCTCCGGGGTTCCAGCACTCTGAGCGAAGGCCGGGAACCTGTATCCCGCATACGCGCCTCTTACACACTACGAGCGGTATGTCTAGTATGCAGATGCCGGGGCTCTCCAGAGAAAGGACGGCTGGGGGTGGAGTAGAGCTCCACTATACAGATGCCGGGGTCCCGCCCCGGCTCAGCCGAGCCAACCAGGCGGCCGCTATTCAGCTTGCGGGGCGGCTGCACCCGGGACCCTGAGTAGCATGTGCTGCGCCCTTGGCGAGCCAGCCAGGCGGGTGTTACGCAGGGCGTGGGGCCCGCCCACGGGGCGGTGCCCGGGACCCAGCAGGGGTTGCTGGGTGGTAGCTCAGGGGCTCGCGCGATGGAG